CAAAAAAAAAAAAAAAAAAAAAATGGGGTTCCGTAAGAGAGTTGGTGTGTAAATACCTAAATGCCACACAAGTAAACAAATGCCCGCACACAAGCTGGCGGCCGTGATTTCCGCCTTTTCTCTTCCTGCTCGACCCCAGCATGATGGTTCCCGGCAACGCGGCGGGGGTGGCCAAGCAGTTCCTGCGCTGCATCTTCCACCAGCTGGCCCCGAACGGCATCTTCCCGCAGCTGTTCCAAAGCACCATCAAAGGTAACGCGGCCGGGGGGAGCCGGGGGGAGCCGGGGGGGCCGGGGGGGGCCGGGCGCCACACGCTCGGCTCGTCCCTGAGGCCGCACACGCTAACCCCGGCTGTTGACTTTCCAGATGGGACCTTTCTGCGCACCCTCGCCACGTCTCTGATGGACTTCAGCGAGCTGAGCTCCATTGCTGCCCTCAGCCAGCTCTTGGAGGTGGGTCGGTGCGCGTGGCAGCCCCAGCCCCAGCCCCGCCCGAGCCCTGCCGAGATCCAGTGCCGTGTTGCTCTGAGTCAGGCCACAACTCTGTCGGTTGTGTTGGGAGAAAGAATTTCAGTCATCTACTTTAAAATTTAAGGTTTTCAAGTTAAAAAGTTAAATTCGTAATGCCAGAGTTTCGGTAATTTTAATGTAAAAAATTAATTTTAAAAAAACTGCCCAGGCAGGAAAAGTGTCAGTTGGGCATTGCGGCTCGGTGTGGGTCTCCTGTTCATTCAAAGCTTCCAGACACTCAGCTGAGTGGGGAAGGCCAGCGCTGAGCTCTCACAGTGACTGGGTTTTCCAAGTGCGGGGCAGGGAGTGTGCACCACATCTCGGGACTGGGCCCAAGTCCTTGTGAGCTCCCTCGGGTGGCCCAGGGTGCAGATGCGGTTGCCAGAGAGGAAGCTGCTGCCCCCGAAGCCGTCATGCCCCTGCTCTGTCCTGGGTTCTCCCCAGCGAGCACCATCCGTTGTCTTCCTGGCCACCCACAGCACCAGCCCCAGGGCCAGGAGGTGCTTCCTGTTCTTAGCTTACGCTTGGCCTCTCCTGGAGTCAAAGGGCCCTGTCTTCGCCCTTCCCTCTGCTGACCTTGGGGACTCTTCTCTGGACTTCTGTGGTCTGTTGCAACACTCGGCCTGTATCCTGGGCATTCGACCCATGTTGATAGTGTGACTATGAGATTTTTAAACGTCACCAAATAGCTGTATGAATCCCGATGCTGTTTCATCCGTTGATTGCCTGTTTTTGTTTTTAGGGTCTAAATAACAAAAAGAATTTGCCAGCAGGGGGTGCTATGATACGCTGTTTGGAAAACATTGCTACCTTCATGGAGGCTTTGCCCATGGATTCTCCCAGCAGCCTCTGGACCACAATTAGCAACCAGTTTCAGACATTTTTTGCCAAGTTGCCTTGTGTTTTACCTCTGAAGGTAAGCTGGGCCAGGATTTCATTTTGAACTGCTTTCCTACTGTTTTCAGATCATTTACTTGCAGAGAACAATACAGGAAGCAAAGTCTTGGGTGAAACCATGTCTCACAAGAGACTGTGAGGAACCTCTGTCCACCCCTGAGTGAGAGCATTGTCTAGGCTGCTCTCTCCCATTTACAGAGCAACAGCGAATGGAGCAGGCATTTTGCTCTTTGATTATGAACGCAGTCAGTGATTTCATGTGTGCAGTTGATTAAAAAAAAAAAAACAGGACCCTTTAGTAGGTTGTGTTTACCTGAAATGTTTCTCAGGTGGTTATTAAATAAGTAAGTACATACACAGTTTTGACTCAAAACAGCCCAGACATACAATGTAAAGTTTCCATTTTAGCGAATTGCTAAAGGGGAGTGATGAGGTGTGTTTGTGAATAAGGGTCTCACAAGACCACGACGATATTTCTGCTTGATGGCTGACCCTTCCCCCACACACATTGTATCGTCCCCCCAGGACGATACAGTCACCTTGCTGGAAATCTGGTGGCCTGAGAACCGTTATCAGCATGAGGTCAGTAAATGCAAGAAAGAAGTCAACACTGTTAAAGCTGTAAGAAACCTGTAAAAATTATCCTTTCCAGGCTGGGTATGGTGGTTCATGCCTTTAATCCCAGCACTTTGGGAGGCCAGTGCAGGAGAATCATCTGAGCCCAGGAGTTCGAAGCCAGCCTGGGCAACATGGTGAGACCTCGTCTCTACAAAAAATACAACTGGATGGGTGTGGTGGCACACACCTGTCGTCCTAGCTACCCAGGAAGCATGAGCCCAGGAGGTCAAGGCTGCAGTGAACTGGGATCATGCCACTGCACTCCAGCCTGTGCACCCCAATGAGACCCTGGTCTCAAAAATGTATATATGTCCTTTCTAATACCCCCATTTTCCAAATGAGGGATTACAAACTCAGACAGGTGCTCTGCCTTCCTGAAACAGCTTGGCGGTGGCAGTTTGAGAATGGGAAATCGGATCTCCTGACTGTCCGGTGCCCCCCTTGCTCCTAATGCCCCTCTAAAGCAGGGCGAGCTGAGGAGATTCCACCTCTAGGGCAGGAGAGGGCATGGCCTGCAGTGGCGCCTTTTCCAGATGGGCAGGGTCTGCAAGGGTGGCCGTTCAGGGCCCCTCAGCGGGGTGTGTGCTGCTTTGCGTTTGCAGTTTCTGTGAGGCATGGGACACAGAGGAGAGATTCACCACCTTGCACGTTCTGTGGCCCGTTGGCCACAGACCAGAGTAGCCAAATGAATCCGGGCAGGGAGGGTTCGTGCTTGGCACTGTGCATACACACACGGGGAAGAAGCTGGGTGCGCATGCCTTACCGTGACCCTGCGGGCCTCCCAAAGGCTGACAGACCTCAGGGTCAGTCACTGCCAAAGAGCCACACAGTCGAGGGCGGGTGGGCGGGCGTGGCGATTCCGATGCCCACGTGCAGACGGGACGGGAGTCGGAGGTGCTGCCGGCCGTGGACGACTGGTGTGCCTCATCGGTGATGGTCAGCCTGCCCAGGGGACCCTGACCGCAAGGTTGATGAGTGGAGTGAGCAAGACGAGAAGGCGCCGGTCCCTCCGGGGGGGCCAGCTGCTGCTCCCCTGCTGTGGAGAGTCGGGTGGAGGAACAGCACGAACCTGTTTGTCTGTCTTGCCGTTCTTTCCTGAGATGGCATTTTCCGACTTTTAAATCACTTTCTAACGGGCTGGTGAGCAGCCCGTTTTCAGCTTCCGGTTTAAAGCCTTGCAGATGTCACATCAACTCCAATGGGCACTGAGCAGATTAAATAGACCGATGGTTTCCTTCGTGGTACTTGTGTGATACTTCTGAAATCTGTGTAAGAATTTGCGCATCTGAGCAGAGCTGGGCACTCCGCTGGTTGTCTTCTGCCTTTGTTTTTAATCTCTGGGGAAAATAAGAAGCCATTGAAAACCTTCTGCAGTTTGTTCCCATCGGCTGAGAGAAGCAAATCTCAAATGTACGTGTGCACTGGTGTCCCAGAAGGGTTTGCTAAAACACAGATTATTGACCTTTTTGACTCGGTAGGGGTGGAGGATTCACATCCTCTTGTGTTTCCAGGTCATAGAGACACTGGGGGTTCCGGGAGTCCCTTGGGAAAAGCCCTTGGCTTGGTTTGTACTGTCTTGAAGAGGTTAATATACACAGCAGAGGAAATTTAGCTATAGCCTGCTATCATGATGTATGCAAAATATGAAATGATATTATTGTTTATCCTTGCTGTAACATTTTCCCCCA